TTCCTTTAGCTGTATGCACATAGCTAGGTTGCTATAGAGCGGTGTCCCTACACTATTTTCGTCGTTAGTATCTTATGTGATATGGCAGCTCTGTGTGTCAGGTGTGTGTTGTGTAAAACAATGTCATGGAATGGAGGATCGGCGGCGGATTTGTAGAAGAGCATGTGGCTAAAATGTGGGAGCAGTTATCTGTGATGTGTAGTATCAACAGCTGGACTTATCAGTCCTCTGTTGCACCAGATCAGCTGTTAGCCAGCCCCACCAACCAGGATGCTCTGACTGCTGCTAGCATGTGGCTGTAACAGTGTGTGATAGTAAAACTAGATACCCATTATCACATCTTCTGCTATATAACCATATCTGGTCACCTTTGTCACATGAAATAAGCCAGTATTATATAATTTGCCATCCTTTGTATGCGTGTAAAGGCCAAAAACCCCTATAAACCTGATGACACATTAGTGCAAAATATTGGCAGCATCAGTGACATTCTTTCTGGTCCACTTCTCTCTAAAGCCATCATTGCAAGCAAATTGCTACAAGACAGTGCTTTTTATGCAAAACAAGAATTCAAACTAGGAGATTAGTGAGCTTATCCAGCTGTCTCAGGAGCAAAATCTTATCTGATATTTTCCTGGGATAGCAAGCTCCACAGATGCTTCATTCTACTCTCTCTTTAAAACCCTGCCGAATTAGTCCTAGTATCAATACACACTATTGGCATCATTGGCCTGTGGATCCAAGGCAGAACCCCAGGAAAGGAACGTATTGGAACCCTCAACAGCTGTACCATCCGGGAAATGGACTTGTGAGTGTCTTGGAAATTGTTCATATAAAGCTTCGACAAAGGCTTCAGCTAAGGGTGCTATATCCTCATATAAGTATTCAGGGTTTTTTTTCATCTGGTTGGTGCTATTTTCAATACTGACTCTATAAAAGGGAGTGTCTTGGGTATGTTTCACTACTACGAGAAGCGGAGAGTAATAAAGTTATATTCTCCCAAAGGAATTTTAGTCTTTGTAGTAGCAACAATAACCCCAGGATGTGTGACGTTTAACTCTTTGGACGCCATGGGTATCTCCTTAAATAAGCAGAATAACATATCAACGCCTAGTATTATAGCCATATATTAATTCTTATGGACTTATGGAGGATCTGGCATAATTATATATGCCAGTGGCTTGCTAAGTGTAGGGAATTGAACACACTTTCTGAACTATCTCCACCCGCAGTGCTATAATATCGAGTGGGGTACCCTGGGAAAGTCAGAGCTACAATACGCTATGAGCCACGCCCTCAAATGTACGTAACTTGAGTACAGTTTGAGGTGTTTTCAATTGTGTTGATAGGTTTACCAGCTACAGTAGGCAGAGCTGCCCTCTGGAATACCAACGGCCTGACCCTAGACAACCAGACTGGTCACTTCACAGAAATTCTGTTAGTTAGCTAAAACTATTGTGGTTCCTCAAAAGTACCGTAGGTTGTGATTGCTGTACAGAACAATTGGGTAACGCTATAGATTAACAGAGAAATCAGTAGGACTTGCAAAGTATTTTCAGGCTGACCTATAGAGTTGTAGCCTATCTAGCTAGATTCATACTGAATATGTTTCCAATGCTGGTATATATATACCTAGGTGAATGCAATGTCAACCATGCTACCACCAGGGCCTTGTGCATTGTACCCTAAGAAAGCCACTGTGGTGATTGTGACAGCTAGTGTTTTTGTTGTCAAATTTTTATCAGGCAGACATTTTACTATGGAATGCTAACCAGGCAGTATAATATATACACTGGTTGTATATTATGCAACCAGTGTGGAGTTGGCATTGTGTGTTCAAGTATAATTATACTTCTACTCAGGAGAGTGCCACTGTCTGTGCTTTAGTGGCACCCATTGTTCTTTCTAGGGTTATGCTCAGCATGCATCTCTCTGTGAGATGGACTATTAACCCTGTGGGTCACTATGACATGTGCAAGCTGCTTGTGCAGTATACAGTGGAACCTCCGAACAAGGGACACTATGGGGCCAACAATTTAGTCATTTGTAGAGAGGTCAGCCCTATCTCGGAGGTCAAATAATAGACTAACTAAAGTATCAGCATAGGGTTGAAACAAGTGTCCTTTGTAGAGAGGTCGTCCCTATCTTGAGGTCAAATAATACACTAAAGTATCAGCATGGGGGTGAAACAAGTATCCGTTGTAGAGAGGTCGTCCCTATCTCGGAGGGTCCCTTATCGGAGGTTCCACTGTACTGAGCTTGAAGTTTATGTGAGTTGATGCATCAGCAGTTGAAACACAGCCCACCTAGGTAAACTTCTTGGCTTCTCAGATGAACCCTGAGAAGGAACTCCCGCTATTTCCTCAATGCTAGAGACATTATATCAATAAATGGAGAAATCTTACCCCTGTGTATTGTCCTCTAGCTAGTACAAAGAATTAGCTATGAGACAGATCTTTAGGCTCTTGTAAAGGTCACACACAAAAATATCATGATCGATAAAAATAAAAAATAAAGTGAATTTTAACACCTTGTGATGGTATTGTTTCTAAAACGTAGGTATGTAGGTGCGTGTATATGTTTACGTACGTGGTGTTAAACACACTGTACTCGATCGTAAACACCGGAAGTTGGGTGTATTATGCAAACTTGTGACGTCGTGTTTCCGTATTCACGTGTGTGTGTTCAGAGTTGATAAACATTTAGCCTCGTTTTCGACTGCAAGTTGCCTTTCAACACCAAACAAAACGTGTTGCTTAAAAAAAGTGTTTCACTTCACACTTTGTCGATTTCGCCTCACAAAAATACACTGAATCACGTGTATACAAAGCACCATTATTGGCGAGTGAAGTGAGCCCACCACCTACTCTTCTGAATTAGGATTATTCTTTGTACGTAGGTAGACAGTGATTAGACAGTACTTCAGTGCTTCTTGTGTCTGCAAAACCGCTCTAGCATTTGCTCACCATTTATGCATTGCACTAGAAAACTTATTATGCCAGCTTCACGTTGATAGGTAGTATGATAGATATGGGTTTATGTTAGTACTATATGGGGTGTATATGTGGCTAGGTATGGTAACTAGGTATGGGTGCAGTGGTTACGACCTCAGTCCCATCATTGGCTGGTGTCAGTTTTCCTCCCACTCACCCCAATCTTTACCCCACCTTCTTGTCAACACTGCTGGTGGTCCAATACACTACACACAGTCTTATAGAGCCACCCTTCATACATATTATAGGTAGCGCTTTAGCTTTTTACGAGCTGCTAATAAACTCTTTTGATCATCAGCAATACGTTAATGATTTATTGTACTTTGTGTGGGCGGATCAAAGTAGAGACAGCGCTGTATTTGTCGTGATTATATATTTACCTGTAGTTACTGTACCAAAATTTATTCCTTGGGTGCCTCATTTTTATCATGAGAATTATTCAATACATTATAATAGCCGATGTGAGAAATATCGTTCCATGCCAACAGACAATCATGAAATTGTTCTGTGGGTTACTGTTGGCTACGGAATACAAAACAGTCAATAGTGCGGTGAATAGCCATCCAGTGGTGCTGTGATGGATTGGCCTGTAATGGGCTGTGGACGACGGCGCAAGTCCACGTTGCCCTACTTGGGAATCTGCCATCCAACATCTGGCTTTTCATTACCAAATTTTTAAACTATCGTCGAGACAGTAGCTCTTCAGACCCTACATTCACTGTTTACAAGCCTATATATGCATGATTGGCGAGTCAAGCGTACCCTCCTAGTTGTCTTAACACTTAACCAGGCACCGACACATAATTATAAATGTGTCCAGAGACTCCATACGTAGGCCCATAAGAATTTATATGGGGGTTATAATACTAGGCGCTAATACTTTATACATCTGCTTCTTTAAAGAGATACCCCATGGCGTCCAAAGGGACATAGACAGCACTCCCCATACTGTACTTTATTATGCGCAAAGCTTCTGAAATTTCGCATAAGCATTCACTTACCTTCTGACGTAGGTAAGTATGTACACAGATTGGTATTATATAGAGATCGATGATCACATCATGTGCCTCTATAATTTGCCCTCTTTGAAATTATAGTGTAGACGGTAAAAATGTCTATATTGTGTCTCATGCATTAGGTTACGAACAACACAATTAGAGATCAGCAACAATGTTGATGAACCGTTTTGAAGTAGAAATTAGTGCCTTATTAGTGAGCTATCCTAGTGTTCCTGATTACTACATTTTACATTTGAAGTGTCTTGATTACCGAGGTGTCTCAATTGAGTGAGGTGTCCCGATCTCAGATGAAATCTCCTGAAAATGAGTTCAAAACGTATATGTACATACGTAGGTAAGCACTTTACTCTAGGAAGGAACAGTGAGAGGTCTGGAGAGACTAGTTTATTTTCCCTCATTTACTGGGTTCACTATGTAGTTTTATTACCCCTCAATCCTTCAATACTTCTTAAACCACACACATTAGACCGCATATTTGGTTACTACTGGTTTATACTGGTTTATAGCCCCCCATTTTGATCATACCGTGCTCTATTACGTAAGTAGCTACCCTATTACTGGAGTCCATACCTAATAACCCCCGTCCCGCCATTTAAACTGGTAGTATATCGAGACTATGTATGTGCATACGTAAGTGCTCTCTCTCTCCCACACGTCTCCCTAGTCATGACATGGCCCGTAGACACACTCAATTGGTAGGTATGTATGTTTGCTGGGGGTAGAGCGAGCCAACCCGCATGCCCAATTTAGACGTTGCTTTTTTATAGCTATGCCAGTCGGGAGATTTATTGCTGGTGATTGGAGTGGTGTTAGACCCCCCCCTGGCTGGATTTATTGGTGCCGCTAGCATTACCATTTTGGGTCTGAAGCGATGTACGCGTGCATTTAGAAAGCAGAGTTTTAGCCAGGTAGAAATTGAATGGTAATAGGGTGTGGACTGACCACATGTTCTTGAAACACATTATGTCTACCTACAAGCATGTGTCATGAACATCAACATGGTCAAAGCAAGGCAAGCAACGGAAGTATATACACCCAGGACAACTATTGTTCCGAAGGAAAAAAAAGCTGCCCTGGGTGGGATTCGAACCCACGACACTCCGAGGAAAAAGACTCCTGGGTGGGATCGACCCACGCACTCTCTAGGCGAGCACTCTATCAACTAGGCTACCAGGGCAACTCAGCTGGTAGGGGTTCGAATCTACAAGTTTTCCACCATTTCAACAGACCAACAATACACATCTGCCTGTCCTGCAGAATTGATATCAGCTCTTTGAATTGTGGTGGTAGTACAGCCATACTACTTCGGTAGCTGAAGAGTACTCTGTGGATGGTGGAAGTTAGTTGCCTTTGCACTTAGTACACACCCTTTTCAGGTAGTAAATAGAATGCACTAGCAAAATGAAAGGACAGCCTATTTTATACATTAAGAATCGATGATGTAAGCAACTCAGTGATTTTTTGGTCTGGACACCTCACTAATCAGGACACTCTCCTCTGAGATCAGGACACCTCACTAATCAGGACACTTTCTTCTGAGATCAGGACACTCTGTTTTTTGTTTTGGTTACAGCTTTAAATCGGCATGTTGCAATGTTGAAATATGGCAGGAAATAGCTGTACACTGAAATTGAATGTTTACAGCAGTTTACAAGGTTGCATACGGCGCTGGGTAAACAAAACCGGTTTGTGTCTGTTTTTGAACGGTTTCCATGACGTTCCCGCCGCAAGATACGCGAACCTCTCGAAAGGGGTTAAATGTATTGGGAACGCGCATCTGTAAAATCACACAGATAACTTCTGTAGCTTTGCGACGGGAAAATACTGCACACACATGCATGTGTAAATAAATGCAACTCTGCTGCAGATAATTATGTTCAACTTTGCGCTAACATGTGCATGCAATATCGATAATTTTCATTCACAACATTCTCACTGATGCATTAATTACATGTCTAGACTGTATAATTATAGTGATCGAATCACACCCAAAAAAAAGTGTTGTTTAATGGTGTATATAGCCATGTTTTTTCGCCTTGTTGTTTACATACACGTACATAGGTAAGTGTGTAACTATACCTGGATTGGATAAGTATTACGAGTAAAACGATCTTTTTATCTTAGTTATCGCTACTATTCTTCGTAGCATTAAACTTCATACAGTGTTTCAATTGGTGCTCTATCACCCAATAGAAGTCCAGTTGGCCTCCATTGGCGTAGAAACGGCTGTGGTTTTTATAGATACATCCCCACCCTCAGAGCCACTATAATTCATTTAACCACATACGTATACTGTCCATTGCCTATAAACAGTGTCTTCGATATACGAGCGTATTATTCACGTTGAATAGGGTGCTATGGGTGTGTGGTTAGGACCTGTTGGTGTCTGGTTATACCAGCCTATTGTTGGGGGTTTAGGATCCCTAGAACGCTAGGTAGTAGGTGTGTATATATACCTTGTGGGTGACTGGAGGAGGAATAATTAGTGTCTGGTTATACCAGCCCATTGTTGGGGTTTAGGGTGGCTTGGGAGTGCCCAAAATGTGAATGCATAGAGTTATTGGAGGTACGTAAGTACGTACCTTGTGAGTTATTGGGGGAGAGGGAGGAATAGTCTGTGCCTGGTGCTAAGCATTGCTGTGGGCGTTGCGGGGAAGAAATGGCTGGTGTCTGGTGTAACCAGCCCATTGTGTGACGTGTGAGCTCCTTGCAAGCCCTTGACCAGTACATTACTAACAATGCATCTTTGGCGAGCAAAGCAACCAGTTTCATATTTTTGTGCCAGTTCATATTTTGCACCTGTTCTCGCTAAAATTATTCCACTTGTTTACGAAGATAGCCTTAAGTGAAACGTCGATGCCCTACATAAGTGTTATTTTGCCGCTCTCTCCTAACATATGTTTTCGCCCACCAAACACAAACTTTGGCCGACTTATAGTGAGGTGCTATACGTAAGATAATCCACTAAACTCTATTGGACTGATTGCCACTTACCGAAACAAGGTTATAACGGCACTTCACACAGTCGGATATGCCCACGTACATGAAATTATAGTTCATAGCATACCAGCCATAGGTATATACATTTGCAAAACAAAGCTATATTCCCGTAGACTTTTTAAATCTATACGTATCAAATCAATAAGCCTGTAATCTGTTAAAACCCTTTTCAAGTGTACAGTGGACACTACATAAGGCTTCTTATGCACACGACAACTTATTTAGTGGGACACTTGATGCACACTTGTTTTTTACCAC